GAGCTGGGCATCAGATCAGCAGAGGCAATGAGCTGGGCATCAGGCACCGGATCGGCAGCGATGGGCTGGGTAGCATGTAATAGATCGATAGAGACCATGAGCTGGGCATAAGGCACAGGATCATCAGAGACCAGGAGCTGGGCATCAGGCACAGGACCATCAAAGACCAGGAGCTGGGCAGCAGGTACAGGCTGTTGTGGTATACACAGGGTTTCTGGAAGTGCGGTATACCAGAAAACAATAGGAGAGGCCAGAGGGCAAGGATTCTTAAGGAATGGGCGAGGACCCCACTTGCTTGAATGGGCCAGCTTGTCCAAAATATGAAGGGAACCCCTCAGGTTAGCATGGAAGGATGTGGATAAGGGAGGTTCCAGGAATGAAGGCTCTTGTGCCAGGGCAGGCTGGCCTGGAACTGGCCGCGAAGCAAGCTCGACTGGCCAGAAGCTGAAGCCGCATCGACTGGTACGGCATCGACTGGTACAGGATCGTCTGGAACAGGAACAGGCTGAACTGGGTCATCCACAGCCTCCTCCTCAGAGCAGTCACTGCAATCCTCATCCCCCGAACAGCCGACCGCTCTCCACGCAAATGACAGCTGGGCGGAGCCAGTCATAATTTCACTGCTCACTCCACCCAGTTGTAATGACAGATCAGCATCCTCAAATGAGCTGGGGACACAGATCTGTCATTAAACAACAACAACTGGGCGGAGCCATCCCTGACATCACGGTCGGCTCCGCCAAGTTGTTTTACTTTGCCTGGGACGTGCTGGAAGACTCTGGCAGGTTCCAACCAAAAGTAAACAGTTGGGCGGAGCTAGCGGTGATGTCACTGCTAGCTCCACCCAATTGTTTGTTTATATTTTGCTGGCATCTGTCAGATTCTTAATTCTGCGGCGGGAGTCAGCGTGCATCGTTTTTTTAAAAATTATTTTTATTTTATTTTTTTATTATGCAGAGTCTTCGACGTCGTGGACAATGCTGGATGTCATGATTGACCCTAGGATTATGTCGGTGGAACCTTTTTTTTTTTTAAATAAAGGGCTAATCCTTTGTTGTGTTTTTTTTCCAATTAAAGATTTTTTTTCTAAAAGTCTGGACTTTGTATTTAAATTGATTTTAACTCTTTCCTGCCCTGCCAGGCCTGTGCTCAGATCAAGGGTCTGGTTGGGAATATTAGGGGGGACCCCACATCTTTCCCCCCTATTTTTAGGGGTGGGGTCCCTCCTTAAAATGCCTACCAGACATTAAGGGCCTTGTATGTCTTTGGGGGGGGAACCCCATGCACTTTTTTAATTTTTAACTTGGGGTTCCTTTCTAAAATTCCTACCTGACCTAAAGGGTGTGGTATGACTTTTAAGTGGAACCCCACGCTTTTTTTTTCTTTTTTTTTTTAAAAGGGGTCCCTTCTAACTTTCCTACCAGACCTAAAGGGTCTGGTATGGTGTTGGAGGGGGACCCCACACTATTTTTTTTATTTTCTTTACCTTTTTTTATTATTTTCTCTACTTTTTTAAAATATATTTTTTTACATTAATTTAAATTATTTTTCAACTTTTTTTTCATTTGTTTACATTTCTTTCTATTCTGCTTATTACCCCAGTAGTAGCAAGCAGAATAGCTGAGCTGAATGCTGCTCACTTACTCGGACCCCTATGAGAATAGGGCCAAACGGCAGCGAGTGAGATGCCGGAGCTTCAGCACAGCTGATCCAGACGTTGGAGTCGAACTCCTTCTGCAATTTGGCTGACCGAAGGCAGCTGATGTATGGCTATTTTAGCTGATGTGTGGCTGAAATCAGCCGTACAGGGCTGAAATGAATAGCTGAACTGAGTTCGGCTCACTTCACTTCAGCTGGGTTATTCACTCGGCTGCCTTCAGCACATTTGTGAATAACCCCCTTGGTGTTATATTTATCCCCAGGTAAGGTAAAGACTCAGTGTTCCAGGTGAAGGAGAAATGAGAAGTCAAACCCATTCATTAATCCATTGGAAGGCTTATATTCAAGGCTATAGGCTTGGATTCATTAATCCGTAACCCAGAGATACTGTATCTGCAAAGGTTTTCATGGTTAAACATTGGGCAAGGAGGCCGCTGGAGATGTCAAAAAAATATCATGTCATCTGCAAAGAGCGCACATTTGTGCACCTGCGTACCACAGGTGACCCCCTTGATATCAGGGTTTGCCCTGATAGCTATTGCCAGGGATTCACAGAGTTCTTCTTTAAATCTTTAAAGCAACATATAAAGTTAGAGTAACAACTTTATTTTTATCAGGACAGATACATTTTAACCATAATCAGCTCCAATCACTCTATGATCAAGTGCTTTAAGACATTATTCACTTTAAATTTTTTCCTGCACATTAAATTACTGAAGAGCAGTTCCATTATAGTGTATTAATTTTTTTATACAACTCCTGTGCGTCCCTCTTTCCCCATGTCCTTTGTGCGATGGATCTTGTCCCATTGGAGATGTGGATTGATTCACCACTAAGACCCTGACAAAAAGGTTATGCATTCTTTGATGTTTGTTACATTTTCACCATGTGATGTAATTGTTTTTGTTAAACTCTTAGGATAGTTACATGTGGTTACATCCATGATATTTAAAAATTACAGGCAGCCTCCTATCTTCCTGAGGAAGCTTTTTAGTGAAACGTGCCGAAGTCTGGACCCATGCTGCATCGATGCAAGACATATTGACATGTGTTTGACAAATATACAATGAACTCAACAATTATTTATCAATATTATAAATGGTTACTACCTGCTGATGCCTAGAATGTGGCTGCGTGGTCCAGGGAGGCTATATGCCTATGGTGATTTCAGATTGTATTATGTTTAGGAAATTGATGTGGATGTGAAACCAATGGGCTTATACATTGGCCCTTTTTTATCGGTATTTATTAAGTAAAATAAAAATGAATTTCTAAGAGTTAAATGCGTAAGAATTATATGTTCTCCATGCCTAGAGTGACACCTTAAAAGCCCCACTTTCTCTGTTTTTTGCTTCAATTTAATTAGGGGTGTGGTGCCCTGTTCCCCCTGGTGGCTCAGAACCATATTTTGTGTATTTTTTTATACAATCTATAGTCTAAAGGCAGAAATAGGGCGAAATCAGCACCAAAGGTCTGTAGTGTACAATTTAAGGATCCTGGACATGGCGAGTAGTATAAAACTATACAAACATTGCTGTGCAATAATTACAGCTTCTCATGCAAGGGTGGAAGGTAAAGAGCAATCTACTTGAGATAAGGAAACCAATTCATGAACTTTACGCTTCAACCTGAATTAGGCCAATCTGTGGATAGGCATTGTCTGTAAAAAATAACAGATCTGCTGTATGATCTACTGACCTCATTTTTTTTTTTTTTTTCCATATAAATGTTTTTATTATTTTAACACACAGTACATCCATCAGAATGAAACATTACACAACATGGTGCGCAGACCATTATCTCAATAGAAGGACATGTAGCAGTATTATGCAGGTACAGCTTGATACATATGTATGGGGTGGTTACAGATTACTAGGTAATCATATTGTATGGCATTAGATCCGGGGAGTCAGAGGTCTTCAGGGAGTATTAGATTAGTTATATTTAGTATATATCCTTGCAAATTAATATTCGGTCTATATCCTATCATGGTTACTGTCTTCATATTTGGGATAGTAGAGTTATTGCCTGGGTGAGTTGCGGAGCCGCCTCAGAAGGCCTGCTTCATCGTCAGCTGCGCGCATGCGCCCCCTGACCTCATTTTTATATAGTTATTTGAAATCTAAAAAGTGTGAAACCCTTAAACTCTAAGATACTACCCTGTTGCATCAGACATATGCCTGCTACCTCAATAGCAAGAGGCCTGATGCTTTGTTGTTGGTATTAGTTCATGTGTATTACTGGATTCAGCTTTAATTTATTAGTCAAGTGCCTCTAAATTTGCTGGTCCACTAAACTCAGGAGTTACATCTTAAAAATACTTTTACGTACCCTCACTATTAACAAAAATGTATATTATTTGTGCATTACTCAGCTTAGATCCTCAAATCATCTCTGAATTCATGCTGACACTGTCCTTCCTTCTGTAAGGTGGCAACTTTTGTTCCTTAATGGTCCCTGTGGTAGCCACCACTCTAATCTCGCTCCCATGATGGACTACGAATGCCTTACTTGGAAAATGCCTTACTTATTATGTGTTGAGATGGGTCTATGTTTTTTAAGACCTTTTTCCTCTAAAAAATAAATGTCATGCTGATGGGTGGTAACAATTTAGAGGTAGGTCACATACTATACAGTATACTTCTTATAAGGATATCAACCATTAAGTGTATGAAAACCTTAACAATGAACGTCTCTTATTCCCTCTCTGTTAAAAATTCCATTAACAGGGTTTTGGTATTTGGTATTCCAGAACAGAATCTTTACAAAGGATCATCACTTGTATTTATTCTTACTATCCTTCCCCACTTAGGTTGGGATACTAGAGAACCCTAAATAAGCAAAACAACAGTATGTGACTTTAATATATTTCTGAGTATTAAGTAAAACCGGTCTAGGTGAGGCTGCATAACTTTGGAGCCTTTCATTTAAGCTTCCCTACCATTTTTTTTTTATATTTCCATACAGTAAGTTTTTTATGATATTAAAATATATTTTTACCCATTTATTACATATACCTAAAATAAAGTAAACTATCATACAAGGATTTAATTATTAGAGCTATAGGGTCTTACCATAACAGTATTTAGTAAGCATTGGCTAAAAAAGTAAATAAGGGAAAATACAATTACAAAATAGATTTACCTCAGTTGTTTCTAGCATTTTGATTTAATAATGCAATATAACAAACATTGTTTTTATAATTCACACATGTTTGCACTGAGCATCAATGTTTTGACTCTCTGAACCAGCATTATAAATTAATAAATTATGTCCTTTCTAATTGCATTAAATGTCCTCAGTTGTGCTTCCACTTGTACTTGTACTTCATCCTTAACACTTCAAAATTTTGCTTTCATCAAAGCTACCTTAACATCTTTATTTCTCAGTGTATATATAAAAGGATTCAAGAATGGTATGACGACTGTGTATATGAGAGCAATAAATTTGTCATATTCAGTAAATCGTGGCCGGATATACATGATTATTACCGTTCCAAAGAACAAACTAGTTACAGTAAGATGAGATGAGCATGTGGAGAAGGCTTTCTTCTTTCCCTCAGGGCACTTGATTTTTGAGATAGTTAATATAATATGAATATAAATTAGCATGATAGCAGAAAATGGGATTAGCCCAGCAAAAACAGTGATTATGCTGGTGACCACATTGCTCCAAAATGTATTAGAACATGACAAGCTCAGCAAAGCAGACAGGTCACAGACGAAATGATTGACTTCATTGGATCTGCAAAATTCCAAACTGGAGGTAAAGATGATTGGAATTAAACCAAGAGTGAAGCCACTGACCCATGGAAGAACAGACAGCTGTATACAAACATTAGGAGTCATAAATGAACTATATCGTAGAGGATTGTTGATTGCTAGATCTCGATCAAAGGCCATAACAGCAAGTAGATAACATTCTGTAACTCCAAAGGAATTGAAAAAATATAGTTGTGTAAAACAATTAACAAAGTAGATCAACCTATTGGTTGAAATTAGGCTGAATAGCAATTTTGGAATTGTAACTGATATGAACATAATTTCTAGAGCAGAAAAGACACTTATAAAAAAATACATAGGAGTGTGAAGAGATGGTTCAATTTTAACCAAGACAATAATTGCAAGGTTGCCAGAGATGCATATAATGTACATTAAAAGTATTACGATAAATAGTATGACTTCAATCTGGTGAAAAGTGGAAAAACTCAGCAGAACAAATTCCGTCAATGTGGTCTTGTTGTCTGTCTCCATATTGAAGATATTCAGGTATATTTGCCCAATTGTGAATCATATTAAGAATAAGTGAATTCTAGAAAAGCATTAGGTAGTCCTTAAAAATTAATCTCAAAGAATTTTGATATTTTATAGATAGTGGTAAATGGACCTCTATCTCTAACCCAACTAATTGTCCATTATTTTTCTACATCTTAATCTTAATGGACACTCCAAAAGTGGATAGCTGGAACATTTCCTGGAGAAAGCAATTGTGTTTAATTCCTCAATATGATGTCTTTTTTTAATGCAAAATAAAAATGTTACATTTATATATCACTATGACACATTTTACACTTCATACCTCCACCATATTTAATAGTATTGTGCAATCTAGATTAATCATAAAATAATTGTTTATAGGTTAACAAATATGCTGTTTTGAACAATAAAAGAAAAGTGATAGGACCTTGCCAGGAGTTTTTGATCTGAAGGAGAAGGAAAAAGCGAGATATGAGAAACAAGTGCTTATTTTGTAAAAAAGATTTGCCACTTGTAATTAGGCAATGCTTGCAACATCTGGGTGTACCATGATCCTTTTCCTTTCTTCTTTCAATTTTGAATACAGAATGAAGTATACATATTTCAAGGATTTAAACATTTTTGGAGAAACTGATGTAGGCCTTACCATATGCTTAACCAATGTGATTTATTATCATGATCATGGTAATAAAGAGCCAGCTTTTGTTTACCATTATGATAATCAATTATTTATTTTTTGTATAGAAATTAATGTTGCTTACAAGTCCTCATTCTCAGGTAGGGATGAGGTTCTGGTTCGTTGTTACCATGCATTCACAGGGGATCCAGAAAGCACAACATTTACAGTCTCGGCTAATGCAAACATTTGCTTAACCAAATTCTTTGTAACTATAATGCACTGCTTAGCCTTTGCACTTAGGTTATCTGGCTTAGAAGGGCCAATAAGGAGGCTTTTGGCTATGCCAGCTCCTCACTATAAAAGGGTTAGGTCACAGCAGCCATATTAATAATGTGCTTTATCTGAGCTAGGAAAAGCATAAGGACTGCTACTGACAAACTGCATAGGGAGAGATACATGTAGGGCACAGATCGGTAACCCCCAACAATTCTTTTAAGCATCAATATCTGTCCACAACAGTTTATTGATGGCCAGCACTTGAATTTTTAAACAAAGCAAATGTGTCTAATAATTGAGGTATTTTCCCTTTACTTTTAGATTCGAACTTTTAGCTTGGGATGATTAGGGCATTAGGCAGTTGTTGCTTACAGTCCATTTAAGAGCTGCATTTTTTGCAACACCTCACTGCATCCTTTGAAAAATAAAATAAAAAAACTGCACACCCTTACCCCAGATGCACCACAACCCCCTGTCATAGCCCCATATTGTTTTTATGAAAACAATAAAAAAATGGCCAGAATCATGGCAGTTTTGTGAGTCATTTGAAGAGGGAGCAGGGTTTAGACACAAGGCAGTTGTTTTGCTACACTAAAAATAAAAGTGCACTGTCCCAGAGACACGTAAAAAAAATTATCAGCAGCAAGATAGAAGTCAGACACAGATTAAGCAGATTTGTTTTTTCTAATGCAAAAAAAATGTAAACTATCAGATACACTTGTGAAAAACAGTCAAAGGCCATGATGTGTGAACACAAGTCAGGGTGTTTTTTTTGTTGGTCAATAACATATTATTAGGTGTTAAGAAAATATGCCAGTCTTAGTCCCATTTCTCCTCTGTTTCACTTTTTATAACCAAAGTCCATTGTTCCTGGGAAGTATTTAACAACAATTTTTATAAGAAAAATAGTAACTATGTATGATGCATTACTGAAAGAGGGAAGTAGACAACACTTCCTCTAAGCACTTAAGATTTTCTCTACCTGAGATTGTGTAAATTAAATATCCATATAAACTGTAATGTAATCACAAAACTCTAATAGACTACAGCAAAAACATGATTAGTGGATAAGATTGCTATACAATGTGCCTTTGCCTTTATATACTGTATCTTTATTAATTATTGTTTGCACATGGGGGTAAGCATATCCTTAGGTACTTTGGATGATTAATGTGCATGAAGAGTTTGGGGATTTTACTGATTAACACAATATTTTTGTTGAAAGAGATTTTTTTTGTGAGAATATTTTTTTATTGAGGAACAAAGAAAAAATACAGTGACAAACAATAACCAATGATCATCAATAAGAAGAAAAAGCTCAACAATGGAGACTGACAAAGGAAGAACCTTGGTGGAAGAGGGACACCTCAAAAGGAAGGAACCAAATACAATCAATACAAATGAAAAAGAAAACCTAAGGTTCGGCGATGGCCAGCCAATGTCCTAGAATTCAATACCAATATAGTCAAATTAAGTAATGCAAACATTATAAAAATGTTTATAACTACATTTAAGGTTGTCAGATAATGTTCTGATAGTATAGCAAGAGATTAGGGCAAAATATTGAATATGTTTTTGTTTCAATGAGACCAGTATTGTATCAATAAAAGGCTCCCAAACTTGAAAAAATTACTGCGTTCTTTATTCCTTTTGGATGTTTATTTCAATCCAGTCCATTTGGAAGACAAACAACAATTTGTTTTAAAAAAAAAGATAAAAAAGGAAGATCTGGGTAAATTCGTTAATATAATGCAGCTTTCTTTCCCACTAATAACATAATATTCAATAATTTCCTGCAGCCCTACTTACCTTATCTTGGTCCCATGTAATTGTGAGGTACCAAATATAGCCAAAGTCTGAGATAAGGGCATTTCATTTACTAAATAGCATTGTGCAAAATTTGCCACTTGTTTCCAAAAAGAATTGATGTGAGGCCCAAAAATGCATGATACAAATCTGCTGGTTTATGACCACAGTTAAGACATGCTGGTGAAATATTGGTGCCATGATAAATTACTTATTGAGAAAATAATTCATCCATTCTGAGAGGCCGGTAGTACGTACAGTATAATCTAAGTGTGGTCTATACTAGGGTTGCACAGATACTTTTCGGGTACCAGTGCAGATACTTGGCATTTTCATGAGAACTAATAGGGTTGCAGCGGTTGCAGCTGGGACCTGGCTCTGGCACTCCACCACTGTCCTGAAATCATTAGTCGTATTGTTTTAGAAAAACTGTCACATGACAATAAACAAAAATGTATCAGTACTCATACTTGTAAGTACTCGGCAAGTACCAGTACTCGTACTCGCAAAACTGGTATCTGTGCATCCCTTTATTTATATTTATAAAAACAAAATCATACATTAAAAAAGAGATGTACAAATCCCAGGAGCTCCGTGTGCTCCTTACAAATGGCAGCTGCCTCCTAATTTTTGAATTTTTCTCTAGTGTAGTCTTGGAGCTCAAAAGTATCGGTACATGTACTCGTACTTGTACCGAGTACTGTACTTGGTATCTGTGCAACCCTAGTCTATACCATGCATAATCTTGAGAAAAAGCACCTTTTAGATGGATTTTGTTCCCTAAAAATTTGTCTATTGGATTGTCACAGTCTACTGCAGAGAATGTATTAAAAACACTACGAACATAGGAGCGTAACTGTAAATATGTAAAAAGTTCAGAGTTTAAAAAAGGATAAACTTTTGAAGCAGCTTGAAAAGTAAGCGGTTTAAGTGTATGAAAATCAACAAGGGACCATACAGTGACAAGCCCCTCTTAAAAACAACTGTGACCTAAAGGTTAAGGGAAAATCAGGATCGCCCCATAAAGGTAGAAAAAAAGTGGAGTGACTATTTAAGTGGCATATATTGCGTAGTTTGTGCCAAATGATCCAGCAAGAATAGAGAATGAGGTTAGAAATCACCTCAGGAGCAGAGAGGTCCTTGTGCATGTGAAGCATATATAACAAATGGAGGTCAGGTATAGCATTCTGATCTAGATCAGTGTCTTTGTAAATACTAGCACCATGAATCCAATTTTTCCAGTTAACCAGTTATAGCATCGTAAGAGCATAACCCCAGGTCCAGAAAATTAAATCCACAATTTTTAATAGGCTAATTTTAGTGTGCCTTCCCACACAAATAAACCTTTGAAACTTCTGGGTAAGCATTTTAAAAACCAACTGTTGAAACAACAGGGGCGATGTTTGCAGTATTACAATAACTTGGGAAAAAGCACCATTTGTAATTAGATTAATCCACCCCATATAAGATAAGGAAAAGTGAGACCATCAGGGTTATTCACAAAAGGGTGAAGAGTTTGGAGAAGGCAGGAGAAGTGAACAATCTAGGACAATATAGCTGATTTGGAAACATTCTCCAATTCAGCTCACTTTCCAGTTCAGCTATGTTGTCCTAGATTGTTCACTTCTCCTGCCTTCTCCAAACTCTTCACCCTTTTG